CCCTCCCCCTACCACATCCCAAAACCAGTCCAGCTCGTCCCTGCCTCCCTAACCTGTTCTTCCTCCCACCTATCCCCTCCTCCCACCTCAAGCCGCACCTCCATCTCCTACCGACCAACCTCATCCCGCCCCCTTGACCTGTCCGTCCTCCCTGGACTGACCTATCCCCTTCCTAACTCCCCACCTACACTCACCTTTACTGGCCCCATCCCCGCCTCTTCAACCTGTTTGTTTCCTCTCCACCTATCCTCTCCTCTATCCATCTTCTATCCGCCTCCCACTCTCTCCCTATTTATTTCAGAACCCCATTCCCCTCCCCCTTTTCTGATGAAGGGTCTCAGCCTGAAACGTCAGCCTCTCTGCTCCTATGATGCTGCTTGGCCTGCTGTGTTCATCCAGCCCTGCACCTTGTTGTCTCTCTACCTCAGGTTTAGCTGTGTTGAACTTCATTTGCTAACTTGTTCTACATTCTACAAGTTTATTAATATCCTCCTGAAATTTTGCGGGGGGTATGTTGACTATCTCCCCAATTTCATGTCATCTACAAATTTTGAGATTTTGCCTTTGATTCACAAGTTCAAAACATTAACATAAATTGTGAAAACAATAGATCAGGAACTGATCCTGTGAGGCATCATTTCTCACCCTACTATCATCAACAAGTATTCCTTTGCTCCCACTCGTTAGGTGGCACAGTGGCTCAGTGGTTAGCACTTTTGCGTCACAGCACCAGGGACCTGGCTTCGATTCTACCCTTGGGCAATTGTCAGTGGAGTTTGTATGTTCTCTCTGTGTCTGTGTGGGTCTCCTCCAGGTGCTCTGGTTTCCTCCCACAGTCCAAAGATGTGCAGGCTAGGTGGATTGGCCATGCTAAATTGCCCATAGTATCCAGGGGTGTGCAGGCTAGTTGGATTAGCCATGGAAAATGCAGGGTTACAGGGATCATGCAGGGTTGCCTGGGTGGGATGTTCTTTGGTGGCTCGATGTGGACTTAATGGGTGGAATGGCCTGTTTCCACACAGTAGGGATTCTATTCTATGCTTTTGTATGTTTTGTATTATTTGTTCATACAACATGGCATCATTGGCTAAGCCAGGATTTATTGCCCATTTCTAATAACCCAGGAGAAGGTGATGCTGAGCTGCCTTCTTAAACCACAGCAGTCCTTGGTGCGTAGGAACACCCACAGTGCAGTTAGGAAGGGAGTTTCAAGATTTTGACCCAGTGACAGTGGAGGACCAGTGATACAGTTCCAATTTAGGATGGTGTATGTTTGGAGGGGATCTTGCAGCTTCTGAAAGTTCTTCTGTCTGTTCTTGTCAAAGTGACAAGTTCTCATCATCCTTCTTGGTGATGGAGGTTGCGAGTTTAGAAGGTGCTGGCAAAAGGTTTTTGGTGAGTTACTGCAGTGCATCTGTCTTGATCAGACCACATGTCCTCTGACTGCACTTTCTGACCTTATTCATTAGCTTATTATAGGGCACTTTATTTCGGCTATTTGAAAATCCATATAAATGAGATCTTCTGCAATATCATTCGTACTCTTTTTGTTACTTCCTCAAACAATGGAATAGGGTTGAATAAGCAATATTTTGAAATCCATGCTGAATACTCATTACTATATTTTTCTTTTCCAGGTGTTCTATTATTTGCTTTAGTCAGGATTCTATTATTTTTCCAACCACCAATGTTAAGCTGATTGGTCTATAAATTCTTGGGCAACTTCTGCTCCCTCATGTAAAGAAATTTCATTATTGCAGTTACTTTCACTGTTACTTAACTACAATAAAGAGAAAAGTCAACTGTTCTTTCCATTTCTGATAACTAAGGTGCTAAAAAATTGTAATTCCTGTTACAGATCATTATTCAGTGACTGTTCTTGCTATTGAAATTTTACAATCTAACACCAATTCAGACAATGTTGATTTCAACAACAGGACATTCTTTGTGTAGTAAGAATTACTTTTTGTTTGCAGGATCTTAATCCAACTCTAACCACCTCCAATTCTGATTACCACATTTACCAGAACTGTTTGATTTTCAGGTAAGTTATTCTTGACTTTCCTTTGTCATTCAGTTTTTACATGGGTGCTGGATAAATGTGGTAATGATGTAAAAATGAGTAATTCAGGTGGAATTCAAATAGAACGTCAGCTGCTGTTTATTGATAACTGTATTGACTGCTACTTCTGCTTGACAGGGCAGGATGTATTTTGTTCTTACTGGGTAGAAGTATATTTTTTTTAATTATCATGATACTATTTAGTCGTTATAAATTCAGATTTCAATGTGGGCATTAGTGAGACAACAAACTCATTCGAGGAGGTTTACTAGCTTGAAAACCTGGAATGAAGAGTTTGCCTTATGAGGAAAGATTCAACAATCTGGATTTATTTTCATTGGAGTTCAAAAGTGTAAAGATCATTTGATTGAAGTAAAGATTCTGAATGGTCTTGAAAAGATGGATGTGGAGAGAATGTTTCCATTTGTGGATCAGTCCATAACTAGGGATGTTTTTAAAATTAGGGTTTGCGCTCTTGGGACAGAAATGAAGGGATTTTTTTTTCTCCAAGGGTTGTGCAAGTCTGGATTCCTCTACCTCAGAAGGCGATGAATGTGGAGTCATCGAATGTTTTTCAGGTGGAAGTAAATTCTTGGTAGATGGAAATGTGGAATTTGGAATACAAACAGATTCACCGTTACGTAATTGAATGGCGGAGCAAATTTGGAGGGTTAATGGCCCTACTTCTGTTCCTAATTCCTATGTTCCCAGGTCTAGATTTCTTTTTATCATACTTTAATTGTGGTCCTAATGAAAATACTTCTCTGTGGTATACAATATTGTGAAATCACATTTTTAGATATCACTGTTATTTTCAATATTCACATTTTTAAACCAAACTATAGGCACCAAATTTTGTAGTACTTCTCTTAGTGCTAGATAGAATAAATATTAAAATTATAGACCTGATACCACAGGAGAAGGTCATTCAGTCCATCATGATTACACTGGTTCAATGGAAGAGCTGCACAATTAATCCCACTCTTGCTTTTTCAAGTATGTATCAAATTCCTTTTTCAACATTACTTTTGGAACTTCTTTCAGAAATATTCAAGTGAATTCTAGACTATCAAAACCTTCAATGTTTAAACAAAATATATTATCAACCCATCTGTTCTACTGCAAACCTATTGTACTTGTTTAACTAGATTTTTGATATTTATCACATTGATGTTTAATGTTAGTAGTGATAAATCTAAATGTATACCACCAAAAAGATAGATGATAAAACATTTTACAACGTATACTAGACTTGTTACAAAACTTTAACATATCTTTGATTGAAAATATAATTGCTTGAATATTATACTCTATTATCTATATTACAGTTCCAAATTTGATGCATGAATGTCTGTATATGTCAGTGAAAATTTTCCTTATCTGTAGGAAATACAGCAGTTCCCATTGGAGTATTCAATTCTCTGAGAATGCCAAAAGAATCTGGGGGAAAGATCGAATGTGTTTTTAAAAAGGAAAGTTTGAATGTAAACATGTCCAAATCCTGAATTCTCATGGTGATCTGAAATAGAAAGAAAAATAGAATTAGTCAATTCTACAGCATGCCAACAACTTTATTTTAAGCACACTAAGGTTTCATGGACACTAAATCAAAAGTAAGATTCCACTCCACTTCCTTTGACCTTGTAGCTCTGGTGGAAAATTATTAAACCCTCAAAGACAAATCTTTGCAATGCCAAATTCTGACCTTGACTCGCATACACCCTCACCTGCTATCAGTTGCTAAGTTAGGCCATTAGTTGGAAGGCATTGACGAGGGAAAGTCATTTTAAGGGAGAGTGGGAAACTTAGGATCTCGCAGAAGAAAGCTATCCTGGAGAAATGTAGCCCTAGTCAACTGACCACAATCATATTGTTGGTGGCTGCAGAACAATCTGTTGCTAGCATTAACTTCCCCACCTACCTGCAAAACGAAGCAGGGAACAGGAGATATTGCTTGCTCACTCCCGCATCCACTCTCTCGTTCACACTCACACCTCTCACTTTCTTGTTCACTCTTTGGCACACTGTCGCTGGCTTGCTCTCGCAGTCTCTGTCCATCTTACACCACTGTCTCGCTCACATATACCACTCTCTTGCTATCTCTCATGGCACTCTCTAGCGCTATCTTTCACACCACTCTCACATACATCTCTCACTCGCTCGCTCTCGTTCTCACACTGTCTTTCACAAACGATGTCTTGTACTGTCTCTCTCTCACATGCACCACTCTCTTTCACACCACTCTCTCTGTCACTCTATCTCACTTACACATCACACTCCCGCTGTCTCTCTCACAGCATACTCTCACTGTTTCTCTGATACCATTCTCTCCAACACACACCTCTCCCTCCCTCTCATACCTCTGGTACCATTCCCTTAGAAGGCATATGCAACCATGCTGGTCCACGGTTATGCTTATCAAGGTGCATTGGTTTCCTGTTGCTTTCTGCAATATGGCTGACCAGACGTCTCTACTGCTCTTACATCCTGTCATCAGCTGTATCAATCGTAGTTGGTATAGAGGTTCATAACCAGTGTTAACCACATGACAAACACATCTTCCATGGCCGTCAAGTCGTAGAGTGGGATTTGAACGCACAGTTTCTAGCTTGGAGGCTACCCTCTATGCGACAAGAGTTCCCCCCAGACATAGTAACTAAGCATAAATTTAAGGGGGCAAAATTTTAAATACACTAATTTCCTCCTTTATTATTAGCATTACTGGCAATGAGAATGTGGAAGTGTGTGCATGAAAAAAGCACACAATTATGGAGTGGTCACGATGCTGGGAGTGGAGGGGAAGGGAAACTCGAAAGGGAAAACTGTTCCATGTTCTGGGGGAAGAAATACCCAACATGGAAGTAACATCGTGTTGGGCATTGTCAATTGCTTTTGTTAAAGAGTCACCTGCGATCCCCTGAGTTCCTTATTTACAAATTCTGTGCTCAGTCCATGGATCTGGCGTGAGCAAGGTGGAACTTGCTGAAACCCACCTCTCTGACATAACATCTAACAGCCCCATCCCCACCCCCCAGATTCTGTGGCTGACGGATGCATCTACACGTGTAATAATAATGTGATTTTCAACACACAGCTTTCTGATACATGACATGAGCCTTTTGGAGAGATAAGATATCTTTTTGGATAGAAGGAGTCAAGTAGTCTGTAGGTTTGTTAAAAGTAAACATGAATGTATGTCAGAAGTGTTTAAAATCATTTAAACTATCACACTGTTAAGGTGTTGAAATCCCACTGGAGTTTTCAAGATGTGTGCTGGTTTATTGTTGTGGGCATAAACTTGAGGATTATTATGAAAGGATTTGTGCTGTGTGACTGATTTTACAATTTACATTACCATGTCAGTTCACAGTTTGATAAGCAGCTCCAAGTGGTTTTAAGGCTTTGATGTAGGGTTACAAATACAAATGTTTGTTTTAATAAGGAATGGAGAACTTGAATGCGCTGTTTGCTTTTATAAGAGTTTAAGTAGTTGAAGAAATTTAAATTGGCTGAATGGATTTTTATCAATGACTTTTTTTCTAAAAGTGTGAAGACCCCACCCCCATCTTCAAAGTGACTAGTACAGAAATCTTACCACCCGGGACAATTGTTCTTGAGATAACAAGGTGTAGAGCTGGATGAACACAGCAGGCCAAGCAGCAGCAGAGGAGCAGGAAAGCTGACGTTTCGGGCCTATTTCAGAAAATTTTCTGAAGAAGGGTCTAGGCCCAAAACATCAGCTTTCCTGCTGCTCTGATGCTGCTTGGCCTGCTGTGTTCATCCAGCTCTACACCTTGATATCTCAGATTCTCCAACATCTGCAGTTCCTACTATCTCTGAAACACTTGTTCTTGAGTTGGATTTGTGCGATCAGGGCTTTCCTTGTCTCTGCAGTCCATATCCAAGCACCTTGATCTGTTCTTTTTCAGAAGCACACATTCATTCTTCACTAATAATTGCATCCTCTCAATTCTGGTAGCATCCTTGCAAATGTTTTGTGCACTTGTGACTGTGCTTCGACGTCCTTTTTATAATTTGGAGACCAAACACATGCACATTCCAGGTATTGTCTGACCAAGGTTTAATATGAACATAACATTGTATCTTGGCTTCTGATTTCTCTAAAATTGATCTACAGTACTTTGATCACAACTCTTGTGTCCTTACCAAGTTGCATTATTTCGTGTGGTAATTTATATTTCTGTATTTAAAGATGTCTTTGCTCCTCTTTCCCATTTAGTTTTGTTTTACAACCAAGAAATAAGTGGCCTTATTCCTTCTACCAATGATTGATTTCATACTTTGCCACATTGGATTTTATTTACCATTTATCTACTCAGTCTACAAAGATGTTCATGTCTTCCAGTATTTGGTGTAAGCCTTCACATTATTACAATACTACCAAGTTGGTATCATCTGCAACATCATGCCTCCAGTTACTGTGTCAAAACCACTTTATGTGTATTGTGAACATTAGTAGCCCCAACACAGATCCCTGTGGAGCACACCATCTGCTGGCCTGAGAAGCACCTCCTGATTCTAATTCCGGTTTTATAATCAACATGCAGTCCATTCAGTTTCCTAGCATGTAATTCCTTGCACGTTGATGTTTTGTCAAGTCTTTATTATATGACGCCTTGTTAAAGAAAGCCTCCTCATCATGTATGCCATTTCCACGTCACTTCTCCTGGCAACTCTTTCAAATATTTCATCAAAGAATTCGACAAGGATGGTTAAACGTTACTGTCTTCTAAGAAATCCCTGCTGACCTTTATTATATTTTTCTCCTCTGGCTATATTGTTACCTGATCCTTCAGGTGGAGGTGCTGATGTTGGACTGGGGTGGACGAAGTCATAAGTCACATGGCACCAGGTTATAGTCCAACAGGTTTATCTGAAATCAAAAGCTTTTGGAATGCAGCTCCTTCGTCAGGTAAAGTGGACTATAACTTGGTGTCATGTGACTTCTGACTGATCCTTTA